AAAGACGCCTTTGCCGCTCCCCACCCGTCCTCCACTCCAGTTGTCCGCGCCACGTGGGTGGGGCGTGCTGAGAAGCCGGTTCGCCCACCCCGCGCCTTGCGAGCTGTGGCCCCTCCTTTACACCCCCCCCCCTCTCCAGCCTTTTGTTCCCCTTTTCCCTCTCCCCATCCCCCAGCGCCCTGCCGGTCGTCTCACTCGTCTCCCCGCGCCTCGCGCCTACGTGTCCGTCTGCGCCGCAGAGAGCAGAAACGCGTGAGCTTACATACGAAATATGCCAAACCGTGTCTCTTGCTGTGGCGCTGAGCGAATTGCGCGCAGCGCCTGCGTCACCACCGCACGGGTGTCCTCTGGGGCGATCACGCCATCATCCCACAAGCGTGCCGTGCTGTAATAGCAAGATCCCTCCCTCTCGTATTTTGCCTTCACCTCTGCCTTAAAATCTTCTACGGCGTCGGGTTTCAATTGGGAGTTTGTGAGTGCAAGCACTGTTGCGGCCTGATTCCCACCCATGACGCTGATCCTTGCATTGGGCCACATGAACAGAAACCGGGGGCCGAAGGCGCGACCACACATGCCATAATTGCCTGCACCGTAACTCCCTCCAATGATAATGGTTATCTTGGGAACCTGCGTTGTCGATACCGCCGTCACAAGCTTCGCACCGTCCTTTGCGATACCGCCCCTCTCATACGCCTTTCCAACCATAAATCCCGTGATGTTCTGCAGAAACAACAAGGGAACATTGCGTTGCGAACACAATTCAACGAAGTGGGCCCCTTTAAGGGCCGATTCAGAATACAGGATACCATTGTTGGCCACAATGCCCACCTGCATTCCCTCGAACCGTGCGAACCCGCAGACCAGCGTGTCACCGTATTGTGCCTTGAACTCGTCAAACTCGCTTCCGTCAACGAGACGCGCAATCACAGCACGTATGTCAAAACTCTTCATAATTCCCGCGGACATGTCAGGTATAAAGCCTCCAATCTCTTTCGGATCGTACAAGGGAGCCCTAAAGGGGTCACTCTCCACATCCTTTGCAGCGTCCGTCCGATTTAGATTTCTTACAATACGCCGTGTTAGGTACAACGCATGAAGGTCGTCCGTTGCAAAATAATCCGTTACACCACTTGTCCGACAGTGCACAGCGGCCCCACCCAGTTCTTCCGGAGTCACCTTCTCTCCAGTGGCAGCAAAAACAAGTGGTGGACCCCCAAGAAATATCGTCCCATTGCCCTTCACAATGACACTCTCGTCCGACATGGCCGGCACATAGGCACCTCCAGCGGTGCAGCTTCCCATAACCACGGCAATCTGCGGAATCCCTTTAGAAGACATGTTGGCCTGATTAAAGAAAATGCGACCAAAGTGTTGCTCATCCGGGAACACTTCATCTTGTCGACCCAGATTAGCACCACCGCTATCCACCAGGTAAATGCACGGTAGATGATTTTCCCAGGCAATTTTTTGCGCCCGTAAATGTTTTTTCACGGTAATCGGATAATAGGTCCCGCCCTTCACAGTGGCATCGTTGGCCACAATCATCACACGGATACCATGCACAACGCCAATGCCTGTGAGAATACCACCCGAGTGGCAGGCCTCGCCAGGGTACAATTCCTGTCCAGCAAGCTGGGAGAGTTCCAGAAAGGGCGACATGGGGTCAATCAGTTTTTCGATGCGCTCCCTCGGCAGCAACTTTCCGCGACTAACGTGTCGCTCGCGTGCTCGGCGATCCGCTGTGGAGTCTCCATTAATCACCACCTGTACGCGACGGCGCAGCTCCGCGGTCAGCTCCTCCATGCGTTTCAGATTTCCCTGAAAGTCTGCGCTCGTTGTGTCGGCGGGATAACGCAGCACATTTGGCCGCGTGGTAGCTGGGGCTGACTCGTACTGAGAAGGATGCGCGGCGTAGAGCTCTGACCAATCACGTACTTGGTCGTGCTTCACGGCCTCCTTATTGGAGTTTGGATTGGCGCCGTCTGCCCTGCCTGAGTTTTCCGGCTTCGACGCAGTCAACCCACTGCAGCAACGCGGGAAACCTGCGAGGGGCACCAAGCTCATAGCGGCGGGTGTGCAACGTGGCGCATGACGCCCAAAACCAGCGAAATGACGCAACATCGTTTTTTTTTTTCCACCCCAAGCCAGAAGAATTTGTACACGGGCACGAATGTACCTGTTTCACACAGAAACACACACTCACAGCTGCTCAGCTCGCTTTGTCTTATGTATTACGTTTGATAAAGCTGTGGGGTTCTCGTTCCCTTTCTCCCCCCTTTCCTACAAAACACAAAAAGGAGGAGTCCGCAAGCGCCTAGAGAAAAACACTAGCTTCCCTGCGCGTGCGACGAAATAATAAAAAAAAGGGGGGAGGGAGAGGAAGAATGGGGAGTGACAGAGAAAAGAAGCCTCCGGGAATGTGAGGAAGAAAACCCGAAAGAACTAGGGGCAGGTAGGCGCCTCTGCCTGATTAACACGACCCCCCCCCACACCGCTTTGCTTCTACTGAAGATGGTTGCAGTGTGCATGCGTGGACCAGTCGACAGGAGCCTTCCCCTATTTGCCGTGAGCCGTCACCACCCCCGCCTCAGGGCCCTGGCGCCTCCCGCACAGGACGGCAATGCGGCGCATGTGGTGCGTTGTAAAATGCACGGTAAAGGTGGTGGAACGACCAGGAAGCAAAAAGAAAAAGAAAACAGATAATGATCATTTAAAAAAAAGGCGATGAGCAACGACGGCAAAAATAAATACGGGACTCATCTCTCTTTCCCCCATAACCCCTCCTTTTGAAACACGAAACCCGTGAAACACGTCGTTCTCCAGCTTTTCTTTTTCCTTTTGCGCTTTAAGTTTTCGTTTTGGTTTGGTGCAATTCATGAAAGCGCTTCCTTTTCTCCCTACCTATTCATATTTCCTTTCCCATACTGTTGCTCTTGTAGTCAATGTATTTGATGGTTTCTCTCCCTCCCTCTCTTCCTGTAGAGTCGGAAAGGGAGAGAGGGGAGGCGAGGGCTCAAATGCGCCCGAGCGGCTCCCCCCGCTACGGCTTCAGCATGTACCAAAGAAGCAGCAGCAGTGCCACAACGGCGGCCACAATGTAGGACAAGGGGATCATATCACCTCCTGCCTTGTACTTCCCAAGCGGCACCTCATCCCGAAGCGGCTTCCGCTGCACAACAGGGGGCTTGGAGTCCGGATGCAGGTCACCGACAATAAATTCCTTTGAAAGCGAGAGCGCCTTCGACGAGTGTCCGATGCTTTCAAACGAGTTTGTGACGTCGAACCCTCCGAGGTCATTGATGGGATCCAGCCCGCCAGGGTGTTCGGACAAAAACTTCGTGACATCCAAGACACGGTCGTACAGCACGACCCAGCAGTCCGTGTCCTTGTTATGTTTGCGGATTTCTTCCCACGTATACTTCGGCACCTGCGCCTTTGGCATTGCGTGGGAGTCTGTTATTGTGGGAGGATCAATGTGTTCTGAAAATCGACTATGAATGCGCACGTCTTGCGTCCAAGAACGCGCACGCGCGCAGAACAAAACAGCAGAAAAATAAAATAAAAATAAAAGATAAAAACAATCGTATTGAAGCAGCAACGGGAGGAAGCGAAAAGGGCAAAAAAAAAAAACAGAAGCACACGGCGATGCCCTCGTAGCCAAGAGGGAGGAAGAGGGGAACCCGCGCGCATCCCCTGCCGTTTCCACCACCACCGCCTCAGCCCGTGGCCCTTTTTCTTGTGTGATGCTGCGCGCCAGTTGCAGCTGGCAGAGCCGCTTCTCCCGAGAGACGGGCAACTCCCCGGCCAAAGAGACCCGCCGCAGCCCGTGCCCTCAACGACGTCAGAAAAAGGCAACCACCTCCACGGCAGCTGTGTGGCCCCGAAGAGTCCGCATCCGAGCGGCCAGCGACGGGGCTCCGGCAACTCGGGGGAGCCACCACCGTGCAAGCGCATCCCTACCCTTCGCACTCCAACGCAACAGCAAAAAGTGAGAAAGAAAAAGAGAAAGGGAGAGAAAGAAAGAGCAAGAGCAATAAATCAAAATATATATCTACGACAAACTCAAAGCACACGTACACCTTCACATATTCCACCCGCTCCGGCACCAACACGTGATTTCGCACGTGCCTCAAAAACGACGTCTTTAACGAGCCCCCACCCCCACCCCCACACACACACACATTTTTACAGATACCATTACCAATATTTTTGTCCAGACGCTTTTAGAAAGTAATCATGTTTTCCATGATTGCATAAAAATTCATTTAAGGAGGGGAAGAAGCAAACTTCACCGCGCCAGAGTCATATACACATCTTCTTCTTTGCCCAAAAAAAGAGCAAAGAAAAGAAAAAAAAAATAGACTCTGCCAAGTGCACAGCACAAATGGAAGATATGCAGTGAAATTATGCCTCAAACTTTACTTTCCTTACTAAACCCATACTTCTTTTCATAGCTCTTAATTTCTATCACTTTTTAGTTCAGTAGATACCACGCACATTACTTTTCCCCTAACATTTAACGGTACTCTTTTTACACTTCATTAAGTATGCGGCGGGACGAGGCCCTGCTCCTCCCCCACCCCCGCGAAAGGGCAGGGCAACAGCGCGGGGCCGCTGTTCGGCCCGCTGCGCCCGACCTCACCCGCTTCAGTGAAGGATTGTCCCGCGCCCGCACAGCCACAAACGAACGAGTTCAGAAAGCATATGCTACGATAACGAGGCTCCTTGCAGAGACGCGACGCGGTGGACCTTTGGGCCCCGCAGCCGCCGCACCCCTCCACGCCGAGGGTGCTGGGGGCGCGGTTAATACAGGAGAAAGGAGCTAAAAAACCGCGCCCGCCGCATTCCAACGCAGCATAAAAAAGAAAACAAGAAAAAAAACATTACAATAAAT